CGGCCATTTGGATCCAATTGAGCAACTTCGAAGGTTTTCAATGAATTTCAAAATCAATATCGAAGAACCTGGGACGAACAATTTTAGCTTCGTGCTTACGGGTAGAATCCCAATCAGCTGTAAGTGTAACCCAGCTGCGAAGGGACCCAGCGAGTCAACCAGTAAAGTTGTGTCCGAAGAGGTTGAGGATGAACTGGACGAGTTAGCTTTGGACGAGCCTCGAGGTAATTCATGGCTGCTCTATTTTCCCCCATTAGCTGGAATTTGTTTTTACTGTTTTGTGAATTGTAATATTCTAACCTTTGATGGGGCAAAAGGAAATTTATGTTGGAAAGAATGAATTATGTGTTGTGAACTTGTGATATCAGCTAAATGCATTTTAAATATGAGCCACGAGCTGGTTTGAGCTTATGTAATTCTTATTATCCCCGGTAACTGTTTGCATTAGTTTCTTGAGGGTTGATTCTTTTCCGTTTTATTACTGCTCAAGTTTCTTTAGTATCTCGTTTGCTTTCAAGTAGGGTGGTGGATCAATGACCATCCTTTTCTATATTTGTATTGAATCTTGCTTCACTTGTACCTAAGAAAAAGTGTAATCCATCATGTAGCAGAGCTATTATACCTGAATGATTTGTGAAAAGGAAATATCTTTCTGCTAGTTCTATATAAGCTGGTGACATGATAAGTGATAAATATCGTCGGTCTTCAAAGATTCTTTATTTTTAGTGAATAGAGAGAAGTTTGTTGCATTAGTGATTGATGGACCACCCTTTTCTCGTAAAACTCCTGGATATCTTCATTAGATTCCTCTTAATAACCTGGAAAATCCTTGATACATTGCTGTTGCGCAGCCACGAGGGCCAGTAACCTTATTGTCCTCATATTCAGATTCCAGACAACGTAGTGTGTTTTGTTTCATTCTCTACTCTCCAAAAAGGGTCTCTCTAGATTGCAGGGGAACCTAATTGAGCCACACATTCAGTTCCCCGCTTTTGATAATCAGCTTTCTGTTCCACACGTCATTTCGGAAATTTATCAATCTGAAATTGTTTGTAAATTTTTTCCTTAAACCGCTAGTGTATTAATTAATTCATAAATTTATTCAAAGTGGCAATTTTGTTGTGTTGCTGATTGATATATACTCGACCATTGTAAGTTGAGTTAGTACAGTTTCTAACTTTAGTGATTGATATTTGGAATTGTTCCATGAAGATTCGTTTTTGTACTTATACCTAACTTATTCAATTACTCTCTTTGACCATTTTAGAAGCGGCAAAGAAGAAAAAGAAGAAGAAAAGTAAAAGCAAGTGAGGAAAAATGTCTTTTTAAGCTTCCCCTTGTTGTACTTCTTTTATTTGATTTCTCAAATCAACTAGCAAATGTCCTTTCTGATTTTCAGGAAGAAAAAAGAACCACTTCAGCAAACTGACCCGCCATCTATTCCTGTTGGTGAGCTTTTTGCATCTGGCGAGTTTCCAGAGGGTGAAATTCAACAGTACAAGGACGAGTATGTAAATAAAGATTACATGTTTCCATAATGGTTTCGGATACTTTGTTTATTTAATGCTTGGAGATATCTCATATAACTTTTAAAGGTTTTATCCCATCGATTAGAGTTATCTTTGAATTTCTCTCAAATGTATCTAATGTTATTCTAGAGAGAAAATATATGCAATAGCAAATAAAGGAAAGTTGGATGACACAGGAAATGACATCCATTTCGCCTGGTCTCTACTTTTTAATCACTGGTATAAGAAGTACATAACTACCTGGACATCTCACCTAACAGATTTGTGTACTTGCAACTCTGCATATATATATGGGTGGAGATTTCCCCATTTCTTGATTTATGTCCTTTCTTACGATTTGTGTCATAGCAATTGATAAGTCATTTGACTACCATTCATCCTATACGATTATGTACCTATGTAATTATTATTTATTTTTCTTTCTAGTAGGAGTGTATTAATTATATCAAAACACTTAAATTCTTATTCTGAGGAATCCCAAATAACTAATGGTTCAATGTAGTAACCTATGGAGAACTACATCTGAGGAAAAGAGAGAACTGGAACGACTGGAGAAACCACTTTATAATGCAGTTCGACAAGCAGCAGAAGTCCACCGTCAGGTAGCATCAAACTTATGCTTAATGTTCTTGGCTTAATATTGAACAAATTATGTTTTAATTTATTCTCCCTAAAATTTTATTATGTAATCCTTGACAGGTTCGACAATACATGAGGAAAATTTTAAAGCCTGGAATGTTGATGACAGACTTGTGTGAGACCTTGGAGAATACAGTTCGTAAGTTAATATCGGAGAACGGTTTGCAAGCTGGCATTGCATTTCCTACTGGCTGCTCATTGAACTGGTGAAGTTTGTTTTGATCGACTGTTCTATCATAATTTTATCTTCTTTTTTATTCGAGTCATGTAAATGGTTTTTACACTTGTCTACTATTTTCTTCATGCTCTTTCTACTACAGGGTTGCTGCCCATTGGACTCCAAATACTGGGGATAAAACTGTGCTTCAGTACGATGATGTGATGAAACTGGACTTTGGAACTCACATTGATGGTAATCCACCTCCGTAGTTGTTATCCCACTTTATTAGGGTTCCTCTGCACTTTGTTTTGGAGACTATTGTTACTCAATTTTTTCCTTGTGATTGTTTGACTTCAAAATTTGCCATTATTTGTAGGTCATATAGTGGATTGTGCATTCACTGTGGCATTCAACCCTATGTTC